CGTTGTATTAATTTGCAAATAATCAAGCCAATACCAAAGGGGGAAAAAAGGTATAAAAAAGAAAAGAACCAAGAACATGTACGTTAACCGAAAATAATCATCCAGCATACGAGTCCAAGGCCCAAAGAAAAAAACCCGATGCAGTATCCAAAATAACTAAATAAAGTGCTCAATACAATGAGTAGAGCTGGCCAGCATTCACTGACGATCCGCTTAGGTGAAACCTTGGTAGGTTTGTCTGGCTCTCTAGGTAACTAACTATATATATATATATATATATATATATATATATATATATATATATATATATATATATATATGAAAGGATTTTGCGCCATGTATGTTATCCATATGAAAGTCCTGATCTGACGAAGATATTTAAGAACATGACTCAAGTTTTCAGATTGAAGTTTTCCTTTCGACGCAATATGAGGTGTTGGGCAAAATTACATCTGACAAAGTCTATTTTATGTTCAATTCCTTTGTCTGTTATACTTAATTTGTTATAGGCGAATCATACGCGGTAGTATTTGATGATTTAATATTTACTAAATTCATATCCAGAATTTCTATGATTTATTTGTGGTGGGTGATATCACTGCATTTATCCTAACTCCAGATCATAGTTTGTTCTTTGGAATGTTTCAACTTGAGCCCCAATTCTTGGAACACTATATAGAGGATGTTGATTCTATGTTTAAGATTATTCTTATCACAACTATGAACACTTATGTCTTCAGCATAGCACCGTTATCATCAGTAGGTTAGCCTTGGGAAGGAAAGCTGGATGAGGGTCTCCCATTTGTAGACTCGTTAGGGATGCGGTATGAAATGCTTAAATAATCGGTGCCCATCACATCACATCTGTTTTTGTATCTGTTCAGGGCCTAATCTAGGAAGAAATTAATTATACTGTCGCTCTCATTTCCTCCTTCTAGTACTCATGAGAATATTTCCGTGTGGCTGTCCTCGCCAGACATGTAAGATTTTGTAAATCGATACAGTTTCTTAATTAGATCGTTGCATTCAGTGGATTAGGCGTTTTACATGCGGTTTCAAAAAGTTGAGAACTCGAAGATTCTGTTGATGTTTTCCTATGCTGCAATTTCATAATTATAGTTTGGGGTCTTTGTTCAGGTTTCCACCGATAATTCTTATTATAAAAATACTATTTCTCAAGGAAGATAACTGTAAGTTTATTAACTGCTAATTACAGGTTAGATTCTCTTAATTATATATTTATTATTGCACATCTTTATAACGAGGAATTGCTCTTTATGTTCATAGGTTTTGAACTGTATAACCATCCGTAGTGAAGATTCCTAGGGAGATAGAGACAGTCAAAATATGTGAGACGTACAGTGAAGAAAGAAGGCTTGGAAAATTGCATACTCACAGGATATATTGAAAGCAAGAACAACCAAGAACCGAACTAACGGACTTGTGTGAATACATGTCTGAATAAAGAATTGAAGTGATGGTTAACAAACACTGCTATGAGCTGCAAAGGATAGGAGGTTGTAGAGAACTATGACCTTGAAACTATGCGCCACCTACAAGGATTTATGTGTAATGCAATTTCAAATTCAATTTGCAACATTATGTAGCAACATTATGGTTTACATTCGCGTTCAGCTGGAATATTTTGATTTCCCATGGGATATAAATCCATGTATATTAAATTACATATTTTGTAGAATAGTTTCCCTTATGTATGTTGATGTAGGGCCACTTTACCTGACTTCATCTTAAAAAAAAAACGTTGTAAATGATCTACATTTAACTGGTTGTAAATGCAAATCAGTTTTTATGATTTCGCTATTGTATTGCAAAAACTTGTCTTCGAACCTTTACACACTCTTTCGGAATCCAAACATGAACTGCCATTTAATATTTCACAATAGATTTTGTTCATAAATTGTATTTTCATGAAAGTACAATAATGCATGAAATGTTGTCAAATGTAAATTTCAAAGAACAAAACAAATAAATCTGTTGACAAAAAATATTAAGCTTTATTATTAAACAAAATACAAGGTTACTTTAGTTCTCCCACTTTACACCTAAAGCCCACCATAAAGAATCAACTAACCCTTATTCGTATCCCGGTTATAAGAACGGTGTTTCACTTCACTCAATAATTCCTCTTCTTATGTATATACTTTATTAATAGCCATCTATCTTGCGTGTCGCTTGGGCCTTGTATTAATTGACAGTAGTAAAAAAAAATGATTTCTTGACCCGATATTAAAATATCACCTTTCTTAGTTTTTCAGATAAATTTGTTGTTGTTCGTGTCAACACCTCGGAAGGTAATCCCGAACATTAAATAATATTGTTCATTGTAGAAGGAATTCAGAAAAATGAAAGAGTTGTATATAAAAAAAATGAGAAAAAGAAATATGAAGAAAGAAGGCAATGAAGGATAAAGGGTGAAAAAAGCAAAGAAAGAAAGAAAGAAAGAAAGAAAGAAAGAAAGAAAGATGAAACAAGAATTCATAAACAGAAAAGAAAAGGAAAATTAAAAAAATATTTTGTGGATAAAAAGAATAAAACGCGCGAAAGATAAGTCAGAAGTGACGAGAAAGTAAGAAAGAAAAATAAAAAAAAATAGAAACAAAAAAAAATCAGAGAATACAAAAATGATCAATTCATGCTCTGTGAAGAAAACTCAACTCAACTCGAATGTTTCTAATCATGAATGAAGTACGGCAGTTAAAAGCCAGATTTAGTGATTCTTTTAGTACTATCAGAAAGTCTATGCAGAAATCAATCTTTTTTTTTCTTTCTTTTTGGTATATGATCTTTCTCAACCACCAGCCACGCGCCATTTTGATTATTTTCTAAACAGAAAGAACCACTGAATTCAGGACTGGACAAAGTAACATCAGCAGCGACATTTGTGTTAGGAATGGAAAGAGAAGCAAAAGTATATGTATATATATATATATATATATATATATATATATATATATATATATATATATATATATATATATAAAACTGTGTAAATTGTAAAGGCAGGTGAGAAGACCACTTCCTACTGTGTAGAGGGTTGATTATGGAAAAATTGTTCAACTCAGAGAGAGAATTGACAGTAATCGGATTTGTCTTGGTTCGCTTCGCGAATAATTTAGGAAGCGCTAGACGCAGGGCAGAGGAAAGAAAAGTGAATAAATACGCTCGATCCCAAGAGAGAGACAGAGAGAGATAAAGTGAGAGAAAAAAAAAACTCGAAACGCTAGCAATAAAATGTAAAGATTTGATATTGTAAGTCGGCGGGGTAATTTTAGTACGGCTTTTTGACGGTGGCGATAAGTTAGTTTTGCATGTAGTTATTCATATATGCAACGTACGTGGACACATGTGAGATGATCAGCATTCCGTTCTAACTATCTGTAGACATTTGTACGCTTAGCTGAATTCAAGCTAATGCGAATCAGGAATAGGAAGCGGACCCGCTGAGAATCGAACTCACCATCCGAGCGAATTGACCCGCTGGAGAAACTTTGCAAACGTCGTGTTACAGTTGCTACCAAAAGCAAATCAACTCTAAAATCTATCTTAGTTCTTTTTTTGATCTGTAATTTTCAATACCTCAGAAGCTTAGCTGGTATCCTTTCATCATCATAGATCAAACGAAGTGTTTTTTTAGTCACGATCACCGGATTTCTACCAACGCCACCGAGATAGAAAGCCTATTTGATGGGTGAGGCTTATATGCTGACGTCACTATATGTAGTATAAACTAAGAGAAATACTTTCATTAGTTCTTACTGTTTTAGTATTCTTTACTCGGTTTGATTTTTTTTATTTGTTTTGTAAATATATTTAAAATATTTTCGCCGAAATAACTTACAAAAAACGCCGTGCGATTGTGCTGTCCCAAAATGCAAAGGAAATTATCAAAAACGAACCAAAAGTTTTTCATTCCCAAATGATAAACATTTATCAAGTGCATGGTTACATGCTGACAAGAAGGGAAAAATTGTAACAAATAAAAATAATAAAGTGAGTAATTTATTTTATATTATTTATAAAAAGTATTAAAAATTCATGATTAAATTAATTTCATGACTTAATGATTCACGACAAATTGAAACAAAATAATTCGGTGGCCGACACCGGTAAAAGATTTATTGAATTCTGCTGATGAAATTAAACTCATCATTTTTTAAATACAATTTTCGATCCAACTACTTAAAGGAAATTTACGTAATTTGCAGTTTAAGACCCGCGCTCAATTTTTAATAAAGAAATCCCAAATACTTGCATTTAGTTGTAAATGTACATGTTATATTCAAAAATAAAAAATAAATTTTGATAAAATTTGCCGTTTTGGAGTTATCGACACTAGAAGTTCGGACTTATTCGCATCGCGGCTACGGCACGGCGGTCATTTCTGACGTTATTTTGTATAAACTTACTACAGAATTGCCATGCGCGGAAGCTTCACTTGTCTTGATTATTGCGCACGAAATGCCCAAACATTACATGAAATTTAAAAAGAGCAGATTAGCACGAAATTTAAAAAAAAGCATAATTAATAATATCAAGAATAAAAAAATGCTAGAAAACGAATTATTATTAAGAACAAATTGATTATTTTGAAGTTTTAATAAAGCATGATTATTTTTTTTAAAATATTTGGTTTCCGGGCCGCCTCAGTCAGAAACTTGTTAAGGCGCTGAGTATGGTTAGGGATTGTTTCAAAAACAAAATAAATTCTTATGACGCCTCTCTATTGAATTGAAAAGGTTGAATTGCTTCGTACAGATCGAAGGAGCAATTTGTGCAATTAGACATTACTGCAGATGAGCGCAGAGCACTTGCGCAATAATTGAGATAAGAAGGATCAGTAAAATGGCCATTAACTACGTAAGCTTCCGCACATGGTTGTTCTGCAGCAAATGTATGTAAACAATGTCAGTAATGGCTGCCGTGCTGTAGCCGCGAATGAGTCCGAACTTTTAGTGTCGATATCATCAACAGGGTAGATTTTATCAAAATTTCTTTGTTATTTTCGAATGAAGCATGTACATTTACACCTTAATATAAGTATTCGTGATTTTTTTTATTAGAAACTGAGTGCGGGTTTTAAAATGCAAATTACCCGAAAACTTTTATAATAATTTCTAATAAACATTTAAAAACAAACGTTTGAATTTGTTTTATTTTAAAAAAAAAAATATTTCCAGAAAAAGTCCACAAATATGTATGTGTAAGCTTAAGTTTACATGACTTTGCTTAGGTGTTTAGTATTTCTAAAAGTGTTTTAGATTGTCTTACTAAATTTTAGAACAGCTACAAAACTCATTATTTTACCAAATTAATGAAATTTTCGATAAAAATACGGACAGCATTTCTTAAATGAAATTTTCCCTCAATACATCTGGAACTTTACTCATGTTATTATAGTTATATTTCTTTTACTATCTTAGATTTTTGCAAGCGTTTTAAAATAGAGTGAAATTAATTGCCTTTTTAAATTCATTTTTTTAGGTGCGTGAACTTCATTTTCGACCTGAGGAGAATAAGAAAACTGGTAGAGCAATTAGTGTTAGCCTTAAGAAAGCAATTATTCATGCAGGTGCAATTCCTAGAATTTTACCAAACTTCCTCATATTTATCTTCACTAACCCCATCTAGAGAGTCACCAAAGTCCAGAAAAAAACACTAGTGAATTCTGCTCTTAAGAGTTTTAGATCAAATATAGTTGATGACTTAGTATATAAACACTAAATGAAATTCCACAGCATTAAAGATATAGAGGAGAAATTAAATTTTCTAGATAGAGATTACTGGAGTATAGTGAGGCACCAAGAGGCTCTTCTTATTATGTTTCATCAGCAAGTTTCCATATTCAAAAATAAGTCAATCTGTTTAATTACACTTGGTTTTGTAGTATGTGTCATGTGGTGATGTGGAAAGTAATACAAAAGAGGAACAATATATTCCTGACCATTTAAATGAAGTAAATATTTTAGAAATCATTATTAAAAGCATGAAAAAATGGACATAAAAGAATGTCAAACCATACTTCAAAATGTGATTGCTGTATTACATGTGGTATTACATGTGGTATTACATGTGGTATTACATGTGGTAATATCCTATCTGTTATTAGTGCAAGAAGAGTCATTTAGATATTTTATGCAGTTAAATTTATACATTGGCAGTTAAGATTAATGACACAGATAAGTTTGTTTATTCAGCAGAAATGATGACTTTTTCCTTTATTGTTGTAGAATTGTTATCTTATAGCTTATAGGCTGAAATATAATTTTACATAGTTATTCAGCCACTAGAAGACTAACCTTATCAATCTATATGAATCCTATAGTTGAGCAACATGATAACAGTTCTCTTATGTATATTAAAAAAAAGTTTAAGTTACTAGAGAAATAGATATTACAGGATGTTTACTTATAGATGAAATTCACTTAAAACCTTATATTAATTATAAAGGTGCTGATGTTGTTGGCTTAGCTGACAACAGCAATGAGTCTGCAACAAATGCTTTTCCTTTTATGCTCAGATGATAATTCTTATGATGGAAATATCTTGTACATATTATGCTAAGTAAATGTTTTTAAGCTGAGAATTTATTTGACATAGTTAAACGTTTCTAATTAGTCGAGAACAGATAGACTTTAAAGCAATATCGGTTTTGTGGCCAGGGTAAGAAGATAAACTACGTCCAACAGCAAGGCCGCTGATCAGGAGGTTTTGAAGAGCTCGGAGCCGCCTCTTAATTGCTGGTGTTCCCAGGTCCACCCTGACTCGGTGGGGTGGTAGCACCTGTTAGGGTACCAGCTATGGGCAAATAGTTAACACACAAACTTGTGTAAAAATAGGTTTTAATACCAGAAATACTTTGTAATAATAATAATAATAATGATAATAAATTTTACCAGCAATAATTTTAAAGGAAAAATTATTATCAGCAATACTTTAAAAAAGTACCATCAATACAAACAGCTATACATTTTTTTGAAAAAAAAAATTACCAGCTATAGATTTCTTCAAGGAAAAATATTCCCAGAAATAAATTTTTGGAGAAAAACATTACCAGCAATAAAAATTTTGTCGGCATTAAATAACCTATTAAGGCTGATAAGCCGTAAAACAAAACAAAACAATATCAGTCATAACAGATAATAATGCTATAAATAAGAATGCTCTATCTTTCTTTTGTCGTCCAGAAAAACTTTCAATAGTACAGGGGTTGGACAAAGTAATGGAACAGTTTTTAAATTCAAAGAAAATTTATTTAACATGGAGTTGGTCCTCCTTTAGCCTCATAGATAACTTTAATACGTCTAGGAATGGAATCATACAGCTTCCTGACTTCCTCCAGAGGAATTTTCAGTCATTCTTCTATTAAAACCTTCTCCAACTCTTTACGACACGCCAGTGGAAGATAGCGGCTCCTAACTTGTTTCTCCAAAATGCACCACAAATGTTCAATAATATTGATATCTTGAGACTGGGGAGACC